AATCAATTTATTTCAAAGCTTCAGCTTACTCCTCCAAACCAATTACTTCAAAAACAAAAAGTACAGGTAGTCCTTCACTTACAACAATTGAGCCCAAAATTTCTGTTGCGAGATAGTTGTTAAGTGAGTTTTGCCCCATTTTAGAACATTTCTCACCACAGTTAAGTGAATCACTTAATAACATCCACTTTCATAGGCAGATGAATTTGTATCTCTAATCTTGACTCATCCTATTTTACCACTAAATCTATCTGACAGCTCTATTTGGAAACGTGCACTAAATCTTTGTTTTGGCTTTGCTTTGGCATTATCTCAAAGCCTATTTTTTCTATCAAGTCTTTAGGACAACCATGTATTTCCCAATATTCTACTAAATTAAGAACTGTATCTGTCTCCGTAATTTCACCTATTGTTCACTCTTTCTTCTTCTTCAGCTCACTTTTTTCTATGATAGTAAATCTGGAGTACAACGTATTCTTTCATACATGGGGTATCATTGTCCCATCATTCAGTATTCCTTATAATTCCCATTTCAAGTCTATTTTAGTTCCCGCTCTTGAAATAACTTGGTTGTAACAGTTTTAAGCTTTTTTGATTGGTTTTTAAAGTGCAACATTATAACACTGTTTTAAACGTGTTTAGTTTTTGGTTGAACACACAGATGTTAAAGACAATTAAAAAATAAATAAACAACACCAACCCCTCCTCGCTGACCATCTACATGTATGGACCGAATGTGATCTGCTAGATCCGGACTGGAGTTGAAGCAAGAGTGGCACTGGTCCCAGCAGCAATTATAAGCAATACTTTTTGCAGATGAAGTTGTCACTCCCTGTCCATTCATCATGACTGGAGTTGAACGTCCACTGGAAATTGTGCTGTCTACATCCATTATGGTACTGCTTATGCTGCAAGAAGAGGGGGAAAAATAATTAATATATTTTCAATAGAGGCACAATTTTGCCAAATATGTGGTTATATACATTTATATCTTGTCCAATCAATGAGTTAGAGCGTTCAAAGCGACCAGGCTAAAAACCAGAAACCATAAATTCTAGTTCTTCATTAGGCATGATGTCAGTTGGATGACTTGAGCCAGTTGCTCTCTCTGAGCCCTAGGAAAAGCAAAAAAAGCTGCCAAGATAATTACATGGATCTCCAATGCACTCCTCCAAAAAGAGGCACAGAATTTTAATATCACTGATAAACTTTACAAAATAAATATTTATGAATCAATTATACTGATGTTATGTTTAAAGGAAGCAGAAACTTTCTCATGGGGCCTTTAACTGGTCTGGAAGATATTATTTAAAATCTTCGGTGCCAATGAAACTGAAGAATTCCTAAAGTACTGTATTTTTCNTAAAACGCTCTGAAGTATAAGACGCACCTAGCTTTTGGGGAGGAAAACAAGCGAAAAATATAAGCCTGCCTCCCAGGAATTTGCTCCTTGCAACAAACAGCAAACAGTACAGACAATATACATTGTTTGTAGTGTTATATTTCAGATTATACTTAAACAGATGCTGTTAAAATTGATGTGTTTTCTGGAAGTATAGTTATTCCCTGCTGTCTAAAAGAATAGCACTTTTTAAAACAATAGCACTGGGCCTCTTCAAATCAAGCATTTATTTTAAAAACCTTCATTTTGTTAAGTTGTCTAGAATAACAATAAAGCAGTCTTAAAAAAAATAAGTGTAATAATGTGAACATTCTATGGGCTTTTATAGTTGTTGACTTACCTCGTTGCAGCAAACAGCCAGATTAGCACAAGAAAAAAAAATCTGTCTCTGCCTCCCAGCAATTTGCCTGGAGCAAATAGTAAGTTTCACTTTCAATTTATCCTGATCCTCAGCTGTTTCAGGCTGCAGGGATTGCTATAGCCCCCTGATGGTGAACCTATGGCACATGTGCCTAAAGTGGCACGCGGAGCCATGTTGCCTGGCACGTGCAGTGTCACCCATTTTCTTCCGGGTTTCTGGCATGCATGCATGTGTGACAATCAGCTGGCCTTTGTGCATGTGGCAATGCAGGAAACTGGAAGAGCTGGTTTTCCATTTTCCAGCATGAGCTCACGGGGGGTCAACTGATTATTGCTTGCACGCCAGTAACTGGAAGAATAGCGCGCCAGAAACCAGAAGTTCATTTTTCAGTGCGTGCATGCCCCCTGGGCAGCTCCTCTTCCGGGTTGCAGCTGAGAGTGCGTGCCTGTGCTCCCTTTTCAGCACTTGGTGCCAAAAAGGTTCACCATCACTGCTATAGCCTTTTTGAAGCCTCGGCAAGCCCCATTTGCTGCAAAGAGATAAATTGCTGGGAGGCAGAGGCGGAAGGGTTGGGGCTGGTAGGTGGGTGGGTGGGGCTACGCTCAGTGTATAAGACGCACCCAAATTTTCGCCCTCTTTTGGGGGGGGTGCGTCTTATACTCCAAAAAATACGGTATCACTTTAAAAACTTCAGTAGTACTTCAGTATGAGCAAAATATTTTTGCACTGATAAAACCAATGAATTCTGCATTCCTGTTCGACTTACATGTTAGAATCCAATTTATGCCCATGTTATAATGGTGTAAGAATGCAGATACAGGTAATCCTTGACTTACACCCTTCAAAGGAGCCAAAATTTCTGCTGCTAAGCAAGATAGTTTTTGAGCTGTGCCCCATTTTATGACCCCTTTTCCAGTTGTTAAGAGAATCACTGTAGGTGTTAAGGGAATCTGGATTCCTCTATTGACTTTGCTTGTGGGAAGCTGGCTGGGAAGATTGCACAAGGCAATCACATGACCCCAAGACACTGCAATTGCCATAAATACATGCCAGTTGCCAAGCACCTGGATTTTGATCACAGGGCCATGGGATTGCTGCAACAGTGGGAAAAGTAGTCATGTCACTTTTTTTGGTGTCGTCGTAACTTCAGTCATTAAGTGAAAATCAGAACTTTTCCTTTTAGGCCTAATGAAAAAAGAACTGGAGAATAGAATTGGAACCTTGTTATTATATATGTTGATGCCAGCAAGACACAAAATTGTGTCCTTCCATTTATTCGATTCCTACTATGGACAAATGGCTGTAGCAGTTGATGATGGAGCTGGCTGAAATGGCAAAATTGACTACTTTGATTGAAGAAAAGAACTTATATAAGTACTTTGGTTTCCACATGGAGACTGCTTCTTAACTTCATGCTTGAAGTGGAAAAGAATGAAACTTTGATTTTGGGTTTTGCCAAGTAGATCTTGCTAGATCTTTACAGAAATGGCTTGTTCACATGATTATGAAAAAGCAAAAGGTTGCGATTTGATGTTAATGCCTTATTTTACTGCAACAGAGAGAGAGTCACAAGATAATGTTTCCTTTTCTTTTCTTTATCCTTCCTCGCTTCTCTATTTTTTATTTTACAATGTTTTATAATAAAATAAAATGTTAAAGCAGTAAACAGTCACCAAGTGAATGATTGCAGGACAAGGACTTCCTCTATATGCAGCTAACGAAACTATAATAGTTCCATTAATTAGGTGAATTGTATCATTCAGGTAGAGCAATGCCGAAAGGAATCATGATGTTATCCCTACTTTTGGTCAGGGGACTAAGTACAAATAAACCAGGGGTATCCAAACTTGGGAACTTTAAGACTTGTGGACTTCAACTCCCAGAATTCCCCAGCCAGCCATGGGAGTTGAAGTCCACAAGTCTTAAGGTTCCCAAGTTTGGACACCCTTGGAATAAACTTACTAGGGAACAAGCAGCTCAGCCCCATTCACCAGCCATGATGGTGATCTTCTTTCAGAAACCACAATCTGGCTGTTGCGCTAACGATTATTATTTTACAAGGACACCACAACGTGATGACTTCAAGAATTTGTCCCTACGTGTGTTTTGCAACAGGTTTTATTAGCTTACTTTTATTTACTTATAGATTTACGGCCTGATTTAGCCAAAGTGATTCAAAGAAGTATATAAAAGCAGTAACTGCAGCCCATGGAACAAACCAAGAAACAAAACAAATAATAATACTCCTGGCACTGAGAATTGTATGATGCTCAAATCCCCCCAAACCTTCCACAATAGCCAAGCTTTTAAGAACTTCCGGAAGGTCATGGGAGCGGTAGCAATCAATTCAAAAAAAGGTCCCACAGGGAATGCCCACTGCCAGGCTCTTTCACATTCGCTTTGGAGCTTTTTATTCCCTACATTGGGAACTCCAATACGTCTTTGGTAAATAATGCCCTGAAGGATAGAATGTTATTTGTCGTTTGAAAATCTGTATGACCATCCTTTCAATAAGCAATTCTTGGATTTAAAACAATGATAACAATAAAAAGACAACGTAAATTATTAAAATGCTGGAAGCAAGTCATGTTTAGAACATTAAAATGAATCAGAGAATGTCCTTACTCTTGAACTGAATCTTCAAGGCCTTTCTAAAGGCTGGCAGGATTAGGACCTTATGATTTATGTGGGGAAATCATTCCATCGGGCAGGTTTAGTAGCAGAGATGGACTATAGAGAGAGTACCCAAAATGACCTGGATGGAATTATGCAGGTGCTGTAGGCCAGGCTAAAGGGACTGAAACATTTTAAGTCCAGAAGATCCAGATACCATTCCGAAGTAGCTCAGACAGACACCCCACCCCCCAAATTCAATGAAGGAAGAGGAGATATAGCATAATCCGACTTGCAAAGTTCTCCTGTTATAGCTAACTTCAATAAAAGTAATTTTATCTTTTCTTCCTAAGTACCGTATTTTTCGGAGTATAAGACGCACCGGAGTATAAGACGCACCAAGGTTTTGAAGAGGCAAATTGGAAAAAAAGTTTTTGCACTCTGCAGACCTCCCAAAAATGGCCCATTTTTCGTAAAAACGGACCCATTTTTTTTTCTCCAAAAAAAGGGCATGAATAGCCTTTAGGAGGCTTGTAGAGTGCTTGGGGGGAGCAAAAAATTGCCATTTTTTAAAATAAAAATGGGGCGTGCATAGCCATTAAGGGGCTTATAGAGTGCTCCTGNAACCGCCCTTGACGCCGGCCTCGCTGCCGCCGGGGCTGAGCGAGCGGGCGTCGTCGGTGCAGCAACCGCTGGAGGAGCCGGAGCTGCTGCCGGCCTCGGCCTCTTCCTCCTCGTCCTCCTCTTCGTCCTCGGCGTCGTCGCCGTCCTCCTCCTCGTCTTCTTCCTCCTCCTCGTCGTCGCCGTCCTCCTCCTCTTCGTCGTCGCCGTCTCCGGCCTGGCTGGCGCTCTCCGGGCTGGGCTCCGACATGCTTTCCGCCCCTTCGCCGTTCAGCGCCGCTGGGGGCGGCTCGGCCTCCGCTCCCGCTGCGGAGGAGGAAGAGGAGGAGGAGGAAGAAGAAGAAGAAGCGGCTTCGCTCTCGGCCGCCTCTTCGGCAGCGCCTCCGCCTGAGGGCGACGCCGAGGAGGAGGAAGAGGAAGGCGGCGGCGGGACCGCGGGCGGCTCTGCCATGTCGCTCAGCTCGGCCGCCATGACGCCTCGGAGTCGCCGCGCCGCTCCTGCCCTGCGAGGCTCAGCCCAGCGCAGCGCGCGCACGTGTACGTGCGGGCGGGGAGGGGAGGAGCCCGGGCCGACGGGGGGCGTGGTTTTCTCTGCGCCGGCGGTTTGCAGCGTTGTTTCTGTGTATGTGTGTGTGTCTGTGCGGTATGGAGTCCGCCTGCAGACAAAAGGGTTAGAAAGAGACTCGCGGACCGAAAGGAAGGCAAGGCGCACGCGTGCCTTTTTATCCGGTCCCTTAAACCCCAGTGCTTTCTCAATCTCGGAAACTTCAATCGAGGTGGACTTCAGTTCCCAGAATTCCTTTAGACCGCCGTTGGGGAGTTGAGGTCCACACCTTTTAAAGTGGCCCGGGTTGATCAACGGTGGCCTAAGCCAGGAGCCTTCAACCTTGGTCATTTTAGGACTTGTGGACTTCAATTCCCAGAATTCCCCAGGCGATATAGTTAGGCCTGGAGGGCTACCTGTCTATTGACTGAGGAATTCTGGGAAATGAGAGTCACAAATCTTAGAATGGGAAGAAAGATTGGTATAAATCATGCCAGAAGATTAAACATATCACAAATATGTCTTTTTGAGGTATCTTGGTCATAAATAAAAAGCTTGTGTAGGAACTGAGATGGAGGAAATAGTGAAGCAGAATAGAAAGGGAGGGAGATAAGAATATACCGTTATAAGAAGAGAAGACATTGGAGGCTAGAATGCTAAATGAAATATACTGATGATACTATTTGTAACTGGAAGAAAATTCTGTAGTAGATTTCATTTTAGTAAATATGAAAAATAAAGTCTGAGAAGTAAAAGAAAGAAGCATTTCTTTTAATTTTCTTAGAGCTAATAACTAAAAAGGGACAGCGGGTGAAGAAGTAAAAAAANCTATTTCATTTACAATGCCGAATTTTAAATACCTTTTCTTAAAAATGATCTTGCTATTCTAATTCTGGAAATCATGAATTTTTGAAATATATGCATTACCTTTTTAGTAAAACTGTAAGTGAAATAGACAATTGTGTATTAACCATAATTTCTAGCCGTTTCAGTTTTATCAGTGTTTATGGAGATTTATCATATCTTTTGTAAAAATCAATTTTTCCTTCAACATCTCTTAAGTCCTTCTTTTAGCTGAACCTTTATGATCCTCAAATGTTTCTTTACCTAACTTCAAAGACCAGAGAAATCACATTCAATTTTAACAATGTCAAGGTTTCTTTTGAGTTGAGCTTGATTGCTTATGGCTTCATGGAAATATCTGGGTAGAGTTCTTGGCAACAATTTAGAGTGTTTTGCCACTGTCTCCTTCTCATGCATCTCATAAACATATATGCATGCTCATCTATTGGGGTATGTAGGGTTGGGGTTTCCAGTCAACACTATGGCCCTGGTGTATTTCCTGGAGGTCTCATATCAAAGTACTAACCAGGGCCCAATCCTGTTATTACTTGATGGGTCTTTCCAATTTACAATCTTAGAAATTATTCATGGAATTTGTGCTTCTGAAGAATATTGGTAATTACTTAAGGTAAGACAGTAAGCAGGAAACTAGATTCTCATCAATCAGCAAAAAATCCCTGGCGACGACCTTGGGGTGACTGTCAAAGGTTTTCTAATTCTTAACAGTGTTAACAATGAGAAGATCTTATAAACAATGATATGATGCTACTGAAATGAAGGCCTAGTGAGAAGTTACTGCAACCTCCTTTCATTTTTGGTGTTCTGAAAGAACAGCTAGACTGTAAATTCTCAAAAGCATGTAATTTTCCTTTACATCTAGCTCTGAATTCTATACTCTAGAAGTAGAAGTCTACACTTTATCAAAAGTTGTAATAAGAAACACTCAGCCATAAAATATTTTTACTATAACTTAAGCTGATATGGAAGCAATAACGAAGGAAATAGCATTTGTCAGATCAGAGGCTCAGAACGTAGGAGGTTTAACAGATTTCCAAGCTGCGCTTCACTTTGATTAGGACATCAGCATAACATACCATGCTGAACACATCTGAGACACATGTGTGCAGTGCAGTAATAAATCAGCTGCAAAGAAAAACATCCATGTCTTTGCAGAATGAACACAACAGTTTTGAGCCAAATTTGCCACTTCACTTCTAGTCCCCAAATGATTCTCAGATTTATGTCAGGTTAGCCTTCCTGTTGCAAATCCCTATTATATTCCATGCCAATGCAAACTTTCCCATCATTTCAGAAGCAGGATTTTGGGTTAAAACGGCTGTAGTGGAAGCAAAATGCAGAGAGAGCTTCTGTTGCATTCTGAGGAAGCTTGGCCTGTCTATCTATCCTCCAATTTTAGGGTTTCTCAAAATAAATTCATAATGATTGCTTTAAGAAAAGCATCACTCAGTTAACGTTTATGAGCCACAATGTCATCCGTAGTTAATCTGGACACCTGTTTATTTATTAGCTTTCTAAACTCTTGTAACTCTCAGCAGTATACAAAATTAAAATAAACATAAAACGACCACAAAATACAAATTATAACAACCCCCCCAAAATTAAAACCAGCAACCTAATCAAGGCAATATAAACATTCCTATGTTCTCTCAACTAGTTGGCGGGGAGAGCTCGGTTGGGATTGTCTGCCTAACAACTAATCCATCTGCTAATGAACATTCTTGCTTGCCAGATTAATCTTTGTGAATGCAACCCGCTCCACCCCCAAAAAAAGCTCTGGGATGTACAAGCATGCCAAGCTCAAAACAAATTTCTGCATTCCAACTTCAGAACAAAAGTTGGCTGTCTTGAGTGGCAGCATCTCAAGTTTTCCAGTCAAAGAAAGCAAACCTGAAATACGCCATTTTGCTCCTGAAAGAGGCTTTTTCAAGTGTTCTCCACTTGAAAAAAAATGTGCATGTTCCAAGAGGTTTGTTTTGAAGCGGGAAAATCTCTGAGGTACTTCAGGCTTTGTTCCAACAGACCACAGCCATCTTGATTGTCGCACACATTGTTTTGTTCAATTTGTTGTGAATTCAGAATTAGTTCTCCTTACATGTATTCACATTTCTTTTAAGCAAAGGGCAAAACTTTCTGTAAAAAGACATTTAATCGATTCATATCAAGAAAACTGTGTTCAAACTTCATCCAATGTTCAGTTTATAACCAATGGCTGAAAAAAACCATGAAAAGGTCTAAAAACAACAATTATTAATGGTATCTTTCTCACCTTACAAAATATCTTATAAGCTAGTATGCACCAATATGCATGTGCTCATATCCCCACTCTCCACTCTCTTGATCCCCCTTTTCCTTTTTCCTAATGTGTGTTTATCTAAAACTGGAAACTTTCAGGGAAGAGCTCCCAACAGTTTGAGATTTGTATTTTTGTATTGTGCCGTGTTTGCTTTAAATGCTTGAAATAAGACTATTGCAAGACTTTTAATTAAGTGTTACACCTAGGGAGTCACTTTCATCATTCCTGTTCAAAATCTCTTTTAGCAAATTTAATGAATAGTCCAGAAATCCACTTCAGTAAAAACTTCACAGCAAATTAAGCAGAATATACAGAAAATAATTTTGGCAGCCAATGGCTAAGACTGGTTACACAACATAGATTTAATTCCCCCCCCCACCCAAAGATTAGCAATTACATCAATGGTTATGGAATTCAGTATATCATACATACAATACAACCAATAGAAACACATTTCAGAGATACAAACCTTACACTAATTTACACAACACAGCATGCAAACCAGTTTTCCCCAATTCATGACTCAGCTCATCTGCTGCTAGTTCTAGAGCAGGTCTCCAAACTTGGCAACTTTAAAACTTGTGGACTTCAACTCCCAGAATTCCTCAGCCATAAGTCTTTTAAAGTTGCCAGATTTGGAGACCCCTGTTTTAGGGAACCGGCATTGGGAGTCATAAAATAAGTGTGTCTTTCGACAGATGTAACTGGGTTTTCATTGCTGCATGACAAACAGGTTTTTAATTTTGAAAAGTAAACATGAAATTATAAAATGTTTTTAAAGATCTCCTCTTAACTTTTCTTGCTCCATTAATTCTAACATGGAAGCTAAAAAAATTGATTTGTAACCCACTAGAAAGCAATAAATCCAAGATCTTTATACGTGCACATAATTCACCATGCTGGAAGTTTCCCATAAACTGTCAAAAAAGAAACAAGTCTGTTAATTTGTCAAAAAAATAAAATTCCTATAGACAATCTATTTTCCAGAAATCTAGAAAAAATGAAAGTTTCTTGGAATAATTTATATTCATGCCTTTAGTAATCAAGACTGCTAGCACTTTAAAAAAAAAACCACCAAATAACCAAATAATAAATTGCCACCCTGAACATGAAAAAAATCATATAATCTGAGTAATAAATGATTCTTCTTTAAAAATGCCAAGAAGAGCCTATCAAATCTCAGAATATAGATGGTAGACCTTAGGACACAAGCCATTTAGCTAACGGCAGCTTTAAATTATATCCTACATTTTAAACTATAATGGGAATAAGGCAGATGTTTTGAAATGAGCATATGTTAATATAAACCAGATGGCTATGAAAACTCTAGCCGCATCTTATTACATTTCTAACCTGTAAAAATCATCAAACTTTCCGTAATATACATAAAGCATAAAATGTCTATAGTGAAACCTACCCTATGAACAATATGAATCAAAAGAATTAGTGTTCTGTAGATTTTTTAAAAAAAACAACACATCAATTATTGTATTTTGTTTGTGTCAGAGCAAGCCCAATATGCAAGAGAAGCCTGTTCCATGGGAGCTATAATAGAGACATCTCTCTTTCTGAGCCTAGTCTTCTTGGCTTTATGAAAATGCCGTATCACAAGTGATTTTTTTCTTGGGATATTAATATTGGATGATTCATTCCAGATTAAAGAGAAAGTCCTAAAAGTACCTGGGCACCAAGACATATAGATAGACCTTTATAGATTAAAAACACTATTTTAACTATAACCAGAATTGCACCCAATCGGCAACAAATACAA